CTGTAAATCCCAGTCCTTGGGCCTGAGGCGGGAAGAATTGTTGCCAAAAAAAAAAAAAAAAGAAAAGAAACATCCAACACGATAAAGGCCATCTACCAAGAGCTCAAGGCGGACATGATCAAGAGTGACGTGCTGAGGGCTGCTGACGGAATAACATACAGGGTGGAAAGGAAGAAATGGAATAAAACTCTCTCTCTCTGAAGACGGCGTAAGTGTCCATGTCGAAAATCACAAGGAATCTATCAAAAATTCCAAGACACTTTATTTAATAGAGTTCAGCAAGGACACAGAATCAAGATCAACACACAAACACCCATCCTATTTCTGCAATAATCATGAAAACAAGAAATAAAGACAGTACCATTCTATTTCTCCATGCTAGCAATAATCATATGAAAACAAGAAATAAAGACACAGCACCATTTACGGGTGCTCCAAATAAAAATAAAATGCTTAGGTTCAAATGGAACAAAACTAGAAAAACCTATACAGATTTTAGGAAAAAACAGGAGAAAATCTTTAGGACCTAGGGCCAAGAGTTGTTAGACATGGCACCAAAAGCACAATCCATAAAAGAAAAGAACTGATAAACTACCTCGACAAAATTAAAAACTTTTGCTCTTCGAAAGATCGAGTTTAAAAAGTGAAAAGACCAACTGCAGACAGGGGAAAATATCTGCAAATCACAAGTCAGATACTAGGCTTGTATGTAGAAGAAATAAATATCAAACAACAAACACGAATTAGAAAATAAGAGAAAAGACACAGACATTCAGAGGAGGACAAGCCACGAAGACGCTGGACATCCTAAGCTGTTAGGGAAATGCACCTTAGAACCGCAGTGAGGTATCACTGCACACCTGTCCGAACGGCTAAAATACAAACTACTCGAGGATGCCGGAGAGGATGCAGAAACGCTGGAACCCTCTCGCTGTGGGAAGGGGAAGTGGCGCTGCTGCTCTGGAGAACAGCAAGGCCGCCTTCCGAACCTAAGTGTGCGCTTGCTACCCCTCAACAACTGCACCCCAGGACATTTACCTGAGAAAACGGAACCTCGTGTGCACACGAAGACCTGCGGACACTTCACAGAACTTTTATCGACAACAGTCAATAGGGAAAACCCTTCAACGGTGTCCTCCACACTGGGTTTCGTTCACATCACGGCATCCCCTCAGCAGCAGAAGCGAGGGCTATGGATACACCCAGGAGCACAGGCCCCTGCTGGCTGAGTACACAAAGCCCACCGCGCCGGTCGCTCCCTGTGGACTCCACTCCCACGGCTCGCACAGGTCGCTCCCTGTGGACTCCACTCCCACGGCTTCCTCCAGGAACCCGGGGACAACAGGGAAGACGCCATGAGGAGGGCTCATGTCTGCCGTGGCTGTCAAGGAGGCTCTAGGACCCGGCATCCAGGACAAGACAGGAGGATCAAGTGTGCAGGGCAGTCACCCTGTCTTCCAGGGTCATGTTCCCAGCCACTGGGGGAAGGTGGGGAAGGGCACAAGGGATGCTGCTATTTTCGCAGCTTCCTGTGAGTCTGTAACGATTTCACAGAAAAAAGGAAAAAAGGCGGGAAAAAACACAAACAAGTGGTATAAGGAAACTCCCACGGGTGATGGAAATACTCTATACTTTTATGTGGTGGTGTTTCCCCACCAGTATACATTTCCCAAAACCCGCTGAACTGTACATTTAAAATGGGTGAAGTTTACAATTGTAATTCAATAAAGCTGTTAAAAAATTAACTAGTAACAGAAAAGAAATTTAATTCCCATAGAAAGACAGAAGGAATAAAGTAAAAAACAGCGTGAAGCAGGAGGTGAAAGCTCCCTTCAGAAGGAATAAAGTAGAAAACAGCATGAGGCAGGAGGTAAAATCTCCCTTTCATTTCCTTCATGAACCTTGTTTTGTGTATTTGGCTTTGGAATCATGCATTTTACATCATTTTAAACCCTAAATATAAAATGAGGCTGGGTACAGTGAATCCCAGCAGTCTGGGAGGCTGAGGCAGGCAGATCACTTGAGGTCAGGAGTTCGAAACCAGCCTGGCCAACATGGTGAAATCCCATCTCTACTAAAAATACAAAAAATTAGCCGGGCTTGGTGCTGCGTGCCTGTGATCCCAGCTACTCGGGAGGCTGAGGCACTGGGAGGCAGAGGCTGCAGTAAGCCGAGATCACACTACTGCACTCCAGTCTGGGTGACAGACAAGAGACCTTGTCTCAAAAATAAAATAATAAAATAAAATAAAATGTAAAAACATAAAAGCTTAAGCATTCACATTAAATATAAACATTTTAATAATGTTTAAAATGATTTAAATATATTTCACTGACATTAAACATTTTAAGGATTTAAAGCATTCAATATAAAAATACAAAAAGCAATCTCTAAAACTTCAAAAAGGAAGAGGAAGCAATACACTGAGCCGTGTGTCCGGTCAGGGGCAGGACACAGAAAGCACGTGTCAACAATGACAGTAGCCAACACCACAGCAGACGCATTCCTGACACCACAGCTTCTGGGTGGGCGGAAGGCTGGGGGACCCGGCTCCGGATGGGAGTCAGGTGCTAGTGGAGACGGAGGGGCTGCTTCCCAGGCCACCATGCACACACCACACACCAGGAGGGCTGCTGCTGGCTCTGGCAGAAGGTCCAAAGGCCTTGGTGCACAGACACGGCTGCAGATGCGTGGACATGTCCGTGGGGCTGCGTGAGGGTCCTCGTGACACGGCAGCGGGCTTCCGCAGTGCAGTGACTGATGGGGTGGCACGGAGGAAGCCGCGGCACCTCTCGTATCAGAAGTTCCACGGCTTCACTTCCACCTCATCCTGTTCCTCCTGGGTGAGTTACAATGTCCAGCCCACACTCGAGAGCAGAGAATGGCG